AGGTGCACAGCCTGGAAATGATGGTAACAGAGTTATAGTATATTCTTTAATTACATTTCTTCTTAGTCTGCGAATCGCATTTAGTTCCTTCGGCATGTCTGGATACTGAACTGATAGAGCCATAGTCATAAAACAAAAGAAGATGGACAGGAGGAAAAAACTGAGACGAATTGGATTTAGATTATCTGTACATTTGAAACCATTTTAGTATTATTTATTTACTTTATTATTCTATAGTTTTGAATAAGCTTTAATAGTTTTTTTGAATTTTTTTTTTAATTTTAGTTAAAAATTTTAGTTTGTTTATTTATTTATACGTAAATACTACTGTTTAGGTTTAATTTATATTTATTTCATTTTCAGTTTCAGTTTGTATTTACTTCCAGTTAGTCATTTTAGTACTTCAACTTCAACTTACGACAATATTTCTCATTTTAGTTTACTTTGTTTTTCATCTAATATTTATATTTATAAGTATTATTTGTATACTATTGTATTATTACAATATAGTTTTTATTTATATTGTAAATAAGTATTTATTTTTATTTTCAGTTTTCATTTTAATTCTAGCTTAATTTGTAATCATTTAATTTTGTATTAATTAAAATTTTAGTTAAAAATTTTAGTTTGTTTATTTATTTATACGTAAATACTACTGTTTAGGTTCAATTTATATTTATTTCATTTTCAGTTTCAGTTTGTATTTACTTCCAGTTAGTCATTTTAGTACTTCAACTTCAACTTACGACAATATTTCTCATTTTAGTTTACTTTGTTTTTCATCTAATATTTATATTTATAAGTATTATTTGTATACTATTGTATTATTACAATATAGTTTTTATTTATATTGTAAATAAGTATTTATTTTTATTTTCAGTTTTCATTTTAATTCTAGCTTAATTTGTAATCATTTAATTTTGTATTAATTAATTAATTTTTAAATACTACTATTTACATTTATATATTTTTATTTAAGTTTTAGTTTTGACATATTTTTTATTAATTTCCACTTTTACTTATTTGCTTATTACTTCCAGTTATTTGTATTTTTCATTTAAATTTTTGTTGAATTCTTAATTATTTAATATTGTTATGTTTTTGTCATAATTTGTATGAATTAAATTTTAGATTTTTTAAATACTGGTATTGCGTTTTTTTAATACGTTACTAAGTTTAGTGCTTCAACCTAAACTTATTTCAGTTAGTTGCCAAGACAACATTTCTAGTTTTAGTTTACTTTGTTTTTCATAAAATATTATTGTATTATTTAATTTTATTTTTTAGTATTTTAGTATATATATTATTTTATTATGCTATAGTTTTTTATTTATATTATAAATAAGTATATGTTTTTTATATTTTCAGTTTTCACTTTAGTTTGAATTGAATCGTTTAATTTTATTTTCCATCTATCATCCATCCATCCATCCATCCATCTATCATCTATCATCCATCCATCCATCCATCCATCCATCCATCCATCCATCCATCCATCCATCCATCCATCCATCCATCCATCCATCCATCCATCCATCCATCCATCCATCCATCCATCCATCCATCCATCCATCCATCCATCCATCCATCCATCCATCCATCTATCATCCATCCATCCATCAGAACTGAACTTGTACATGTACTTTCTTTTAGGAGAACGTGCAAGTCTCTCTTTTGGCTGTAACTGAACTAACTAGTCATTATCACTCTCAACAAGACATACCCAAAATATACAGAGCGTAAAATAAAATCCCGGTTTCTACTGAATACGCTGGGATGTGATCACATAACTGTGACGGCATCTTACAAAAGAACAGACAGGAAAACGGGGTTGTGGGTAAAAAAAGAAAAGAAAAAAAGAATAGAAATTGTGAAGGATGACAGCACTGAAAGAGATTTAGACAGGAACTGAATATGGAAATTATTATGCATAAATACCATATATACTATATGCAGGCCATTCATTTGTCATTCATTTCTTCATAAAAAAAAAGTGCAATATTGATAAGGTCACTTAAAATGTATTAAGACTCCATTGTTTTATTATTATAATTTTTGTAAGATATTTATAATTTATTATTTATATATATAATTTTAGATTTTAGTTAAATCTACTTTTAGTAAAAAGCATTAAAACCTCATTCTTTTTAAAAATATTTTAACATTAATTTTAAATTATATTTAAATCCATGTTTTTAGAGAAAAAAAACATTTTCTTTTCTGCCATTAAATAACATTGCAGGATTTTTTTTAAAGGTCATTTGATTTAATTTTATCATAATTTTCTGTTAAAGATGTAGGTGTTATTTTGTGTTTTGCTTTATTTTGAGCTAATTGATTTAAAAATGTATTTTTTATTTTTTTATTATTATGATTAATTTATTGTTTGTAATGGTTTAAGTTTACATTTATTCATTTTATCCTAATTTTATACTTAATATTATTGTATTTTGATATATTTGAATTAAAAAAAAAAAAATTTTTATTATATTTTTTATTGTAAGATAATTATTTCATTTATAATAATAGTATTTTTTTCTATACATTATTTTTTAATCCGATTTTTAGTCAAACCACCTTTATTCTTCCATTAAAAACATTGCATTATATTATTGCATGCAGCTGAAGTTGAGCATATGCAATCTGGGACTTCGCATACTCGCGTCTCTAAGCGTAATGCTGGAGAAAATTCATATGCAGGCACTTCTCTCTCAATATTAAAAATGTATACTCATCCCTATAAATATAGATAATATAAAAAAAGTTATATTATCTTTCATTTTTCAGATTACTAATATGAAAAATGACACAAACTGCAGTTTTTCTGCCAACATTTTTTAACATTCATCCGCAACTTTTCCAGATTAATTGCACTAGTAAACTGTCACTTTATAGATTCCTGTAAAAATGCTCAGAAGGCAGCGTGTAATAATTCATAAAGTGCTCATTAATATTTAGTGATAATTTAGTGTCTTTGCAGGTGGGTCTGAATACAGATGCATGTCTTATCAGCAGGGTTTGTTCTTCTGTTGTTGCTGTATAATCTGGGCTGTTCATGCAGTGTGTGTGTGAGAGAGGAATTGCTAAAAGATGCACCACATGTTAGTCTTCCAGGCTTGGAGCTGGAGGTCCAGCATCAGCTTCTGCTTTTTGCATTATTCATTTAGCAGGTGCTTTTATCCAAAGTGGTTTATGAAGGAAGGATATTGAAAGCAATTCATAGAAAGGAGGCGACAGCAAAGTTACAGAAAGCGACACGTGAGCACATGGGGATACGCATGCAGGGAAATATAAATGGTGGTTCTATTTAAATCAAACAATCAAAAAATAGAGAGATTTTGTAAATACTAGATGGTTGTCTATTTTATTTAGCTTTGATAGAATTCAATAGAATTTTTGGGGAAAATGTGTAATATTTTGGGGAATTGTATTGTTCCTTATGGTTTATGTTTATATTTATTCATTTAGAATCTTAAATGATTTTTTTTTTGTATTATTGTATATATGTTGAAGGCTATTTTTTTACATGTTAAATTAAATATGAATATCAAATATTATTTATACAGTTTATTTTATTTATTATGGTGACAACAGTGAAACAGTAGTGTGTTTTGACGTTTTTTTATTTAATATTGTTATTATTTATTTGTTTGTTTGTTTGTTAGTTTGTTTATTCATTTTTGATAGATTAGAAAAAGTTAGCTTTATTGGTTTTCGTTGTTTTTTGATAGATTTGGGTGAGTTGTGTGAATTCTTATATTTGAAAAAGTGAATCAGTTGAGTTTTTATTTTATTTGTAAACTATAATACTTTTAGTTGATTTATAATGATAGTAGTAGGGTGTAGATTTTATATTGAATTAAATATTACATTATATTAATTTTATACATTTAGTTTTTATAGATTTGAATGATTTAAAAAAATATTATTTATACTTTATTATTATTATTATTATTTACAATGATAGCTTTTTGCTACTTTTATAGCCTATACCATTCATGACAATAGTAGGGGGTATGATTTTAATTTATATTTGGTTGATGCAGATTAATTTCTTTATTTATTTATGCTTTATTTTGAGAGAATGGCTTTTAGAAAAGACTTTTAGTATGCGTTTGTATTGTTAATATAATTGTAAAATAGGCTTTTATTTGATGTTATTTAATTATTTTTATTCTGAATCTCGATGAAAGTGAAATAGCAGTGAAATAGTTCTATATTTTGTATTTTGTAAGAAATATTGGTAACACTTTACAATAAGGTTCCATTAGTTCATGTTAGTTAATGTATTCAAACAATGAAAAATACATTTATTACAGTATGTATTCATCTTTGTTAATGTTAGTTAATGAAAATACAGTTGTTCATAGTTAGTTCATGTTAATTCACAGCACATTAACTAATGTTAACTAGCACAACCTTTGATTTTAATAATGCAGTAGTAACTGTTGAAATTAACATGAACTAAGATTAATAAATGCTGTAGAAGTATTGTTCATGCTTAGTTCATGTTAACTAAAGTAGTTAACTAATGTTAACTAATGAACCTTATTGTAAAGTGTTACCGAAATATTTTATATTATACTATGTATTATTATATATTTTATTTTATTTTGATACATTTGACTGAATTTGGTGATTTATGTGACCTTGAATGGAAAGATTAGTACTCCTATGATTAACCAACAAACTTTTTCCTAATAAAAATCCAGATGTAATGTTCCACACAGCAAGAGAGAGAGAGAGAGAGAGAGAGAGAGAGAGGGGGGGGGGGGAGCAGGTGTCTCTCTCTCTCTCTCTCTCTCTCTCGCGCTGGTCAAACTCAATCAGAGACACTTGCTCTGAATCAAACTGCCTGAGCACTGAGGCGGGTCTGTCTGAGTCACTTCAAGTGTTGGCTCTGTGGATGAGTTTTGTGGTTTTGCAGCGCCATCTAGCGGACATTCTTACAGTGCTCGTTCGGCATGTGAGTCTGACTGTGTGTGTGTGTTCGCGTCTAGAGTTTGATGGAGATCGGGTCGGATGACAGCGGGAACTGTGGTTATAACCGGAGGAATTCTCGCCACGGTGATTCTCCTGTGTATCATTGCCGTGCTCTGCTACTGTCGACTTCAGGTGAGCGCCTCGCGGATATTTTCCTCTATGCATTGAAATGTGTAAATTGTAAATTGTTTTATAAAAACACACAAACAGATTTTATAGATTGTTTTATTTATAAAGTTTTAGTTTTTTTGTATATAGTGACAATAGTGGAAAAAGTAGGGTGTGCATATATTTACATTTAATATTATGCTATTATTATTATTTTATTTGTTTGTTTTTTGATAGATTTCGAAAAGGCGTTTTTTCCCTCCATAGTTTTCGCTTTCGATAGATTTGGATGAATTCTTTTATAAAAAAAGTGAATCGTCAGAGTTTTTATTTTATTTATTAATTGTATTACTTGTATTTTAATGGCAGCAATAGTGAAAAAGTAGGATGTAGATTTTTAAAATGTAATATTTAATGTTAATTTTAAGTTAATGTTTGTTTTATAGATTTGAATTTTTATTTATACACTTCATTACTTAGATTTTATTTATAATGGTAGCAATAGTGAAACAGTAGGGAGTGGATTTTTTCATTTAATTAAATATTATATTATTTTAAAATACATTTTTGTTTTTATTGATTGAATGAATTTTTATTTATATGCTTTATTTAACTGTAATGATAACACTAGTCAGACACTAGGATGCAGATTTTTAAAATATAATTAAATTTTATATATATATATATATATATATATATATATATTTTTTTTTTTTATAAACTTACTTTTAGTTTTATTTATAATGATAACAATAGTGCAATACATACACACATACATACATACATATATATAATAAACTTAATTGCTTATATTTTTATTTCTAACAGTATAACAATTGTGAAGTAGTTATTTTTAGTTTATTTGAATTTTAGAACTTTTTTTATTTTATTATTATTATTATTATTATTATTGACGTTTATTTGGATAGGACAATTATTAGACAGGAAGCGAAGTTGGAGAGTGAGGGGGGATGGAATCGAGAAAGGTCCACGAGCCGGAACTGGAACTTGGGGACGCCCAAAGCTCAATGGCGCTATATGTCGCTATATGTATAATAATAATAATAATCATTAATTTTATATAATTATTCATTCCTCCACTGATGTCCTATGATATTCCTATCTCTCTTACTGACTGACTGGCCTTGTTTTTCTCCTAGTATTATTGCTGTAAGAAGAATGGATCCGATCCAGATGCTGTTTGCCCACAGCCCCAGTTTGCCTGCAACGCATGCAGCACATCCAGGATGGGCGGGGCCGCTTCCACCCCGCTCTCCCTGTCACCGGAGCTCACGCCCCCGCAGAGCTTCTGCCCCACCTGCTCCCCATACAGCTCTCCATTCTACATCAGCACCACGGGCGAAACACGGAACGGGGCCGAACGCACCGCTTACATGCCGTCCCTGTCTCTCACCCTTCCCTCTCTGCACAGCCGGCCGGACCTCTACTCCAACACACGTGCCATAAGCACTGATGTCTGATCATTGACGTCCTCCGAAGACACCCTTAATGTTGTAAAAACAGAGCGAATGGGGACCAAAGGACAGCCAGTACTCAGTTTTTACATTTTATTTGTCTAGCAGTAAATTGAAGTCAATAATCCTATATAATGTTTTATAGAAACTGATACAAATTTGTTCTTCCTGATTTTATTTGACTCTAATTAACACTGAAAAATGTTATTAGTCTGTGTTTTTGTCTTGTTTGTAAATCTGAGCATATTTAAAACAAGGTAAACGCACTTGCGAAGCAGAGTTGTGCAAGATAAGGCTTGTTTTTCATCTTGAATGAGTTTTTCATGTTTAATATTTTCCCCCTTATTTTAGTAGACAATGAAATAAACAAATGAAAACGAATAAACAATTATTTAAACAACAAACAATAATAAATAATAAATTAAATAGTAACAATTAAGTATTCTCTGGAGATAGGTTTTAACATCTTACGCTGTTTTGAAAGGTGTTTAAATGTTTTTATGGAAAACAAAACAAAAATACGGATTAAGAAAACAATTGCAGTGAAGGGCTAAAACAAGAAAAAACAATCTGCTGGTTTTTCAAATAAAATAAAAATGGAACAAAAACAACAACAATAAAAAAAAAACATTAAATAAACTAAATAAATATTCTTTGAAGTTTTAACATCTTATGCTACCTTAAAAGGTGTTGTCAGTGTTTTTACTGAAAAACAAGACAAAAATACTGATCAAGAAAATGTTTTGCAGTGGAGGGTAAGGGCTCCTAGTTTTTTTAATATGCGGCCTTCAAAAACTCTCTGCCTTTCTGGTATTTTAACATGTGGGCTTCCTGTAATGGGCTAATGTATGAGGGCTATCCTACACAAGAACATTTTATTATTGTGCCACAATAAGACATTTAATTTAATTTTATTTACATTTTTAAAACAATGTTGTTGTTTTTTTGCAATTCCACTTGGTGGCGCTAGAAGTGCAAAAATGACACACTTCATCTTTAACTGAAAGATTTTTTTAGCCATCTCTATGCAAGTTCAGTGTAATCAGTCATAACAAGGAGTGTCTGTTTAGTCCATGGCGAGATGTTTGAGTTAAATATAGTGATGTGTTTATGATACACTTTCTTTTTATTACATGCAAAAGTTTGAATATGTAAGTTATTATTCTCAGAGGCGTTATGCCCATTCAAAATGGGCACGTGCCCCCTCAGATTTTTGAGGCAAGTGAATTTTGAACGCAGCTTCCAAAGGACAAAAATAGCCGATTAATATTTTCTATATTTAATACAGTCACACCGGCGTGATTAGAACGTTCAGTGCTTCCGTTAATTAAGTAAACAGACAGGTTTTTATGCATAGATTACATTATTAGGTTACTTTGTCCATCGCCCACTATAGATCAACATAATCTATAAAGGTGAGAATCAAGATGTTTCATGATATAGTTAATGCGTTTGGGGATGTTTCGAATAAAAAGGTAAAAATAAATAACATAAGTGCTGTTGTTGCTACTGTGTTATAGATCAACTAACATTATCTATAAAGGTGCAAAATGCATTTACTTACACATATTTGAGTATCGAGATATTTCATTATATATTCTGGGAATATTTCGAATAAAAATTACAAATTAATCAAACATTAGCCTATATCAGTTATACAGTGGTATCGTGGTTGCTGTGTGTCACATGACAAGCATGAGAGCCTCCCCACCCCCACCCCTTCACTCGTGCCCCTCAAAAATAATGAGTGCATGACGCCCCTGATTATTCTGTTTGTTTGTTAACCTGGTTTCACCAAACTTTTATCAGTCAAATGGTGGCTCATGTTTACTGGAGGTTAATGTGTTCCTCCAGCCGACTTGTTTGTTATAGATTTGTGATGCTTGATCATAATTATCTGTCAATGACAAGGATGTGATGATAGAACTGGTAGCAACTGTTACTTATGTGAAGAAAAACCTTTTTTACTATCGTTTCTTTAGATCGTTTAGAACATGAGCAATGTTTTACAGATGAGCCAGTGAGCAAATAAAGAAATAAATGAACATATTATTTCTGTGCCATGCAAAGAAGCAAAATACTTATAATATAAAAAATGTAATATAATAGTAGCTTACCACTTCTTCTTTTTTTTTTAAACAAAGATATTCATATTTATCACAGAAATTACATTTTTTTTTTACATTTTGATTAATTTACCCTAATTACATTTACTTTTTGTGTTTACATTAAGTGTATTCTTTTTGTAGTAATCTTATTTCATTTGATGTTATTTCGCACATAAATTAAATAAAAATGTTCAAAAAAAAAAAAAAAAAAGCCTATTTTTTGTTTATCAAAAAATTCAAGATTGATTAGACTAATACAAGCTTGGCTCTACCACTTATAATATATTTTATATAACAGAGATTAGAGTTTTTGAGATTTTAATCAGAATTTTGCCTTAATCACATTTTCTTTTTCTTTTCTTTTCTTTTTGCTTAATTATTTTTGTTGCATTTTTGATTCATGTTATTATATTTAATTTGTTAAGTTATAAATTTAATTAAATGTGCTACAATAAATGTTGAATTATTATAAATGGATGAAATAATTAGTAATAATTATATACTGTTTTAGTTTTGTCTTTTTTGTATTTTTGTTAAATTGAATGAATATTTATTTTATGAATTATAAATTAAATTAAATTTACTACGATCAACTTGTTTTTATTAATTTTAATGAATTGAATGCTTAATTAATTTGTATTAATATAAAATAATATAACAGAAATATTTAGTAGACCAATAATAGTTTGGCTCTCTACCAATTCTTCATAAAAGACTTAATTCTATTTATATTATATTATATTATATTATAAAAAAAAATAAATAAATAAAAAATATATATATATATATTATATATATATGTATATATAGGTCTATATAATTATATTTATCACAGACATTTTTAATTTTTATACAGTTTTATTTTGACGTAATCAGAATTCTGTCTTAATCACATTTGCATTTCTGTTTACATTCAGTGTATTATTTTCGTGTTTTTTGCTCTTTTTTTAAATGTTATATTTTATTTAAAAAGATAAATTCAATTAAATGCACTACGACAAAATACGTTTTGTAACGTGATATTACGTAATATTAGTACGTTATTAATACATTAAATTAAATTCTATATATATATTTTTGTTTTCCTAAATACCTAAATAAGTAGTTGTAAACCTACAGCTGCTGCCTCGCGCGTTTGAAGCGGTGGGCGTGGCCCGTCTGAAGCGGTGGGCGTGGCTCTCCAGTGGTGGCGATGACGTCGCCTGCTCCATGTGGCTGTAGTTTGCGGATGTGCTCGCGTGTCGCTCAGCTGACAGACTCACAGCAAGTAAGTTGGGTTTTACCCTCTCAGGACACTCACAACAAACACTAAAATGAAAGAAAACGTCCGCGTTGACACGATACACGCGTTCGGGTTTGTTACGTGTTCAGTGTGGGAGCGTTTAAAAGCCTCTGAGGCTCGTAAGCGCTTGTTCTAAAGATAAAGTGTCAGAAAATGAGCTAATTGTTGATTAGCAGTGGCTAGCTGGCTAACTGACTAGCTTCAGTTTAGTTAGGCTGCTTCTCGCTGACAGCACACGTTGTGTTTAGGATTTTAACTAGCTGTTATGATGAGGTGTGTGTGTGTTATGAAACACATTAATAATAGTACGAAACTGTTTAGTCAGCCTTATTTTCTGTTGTTGAAGGCGTTTCCTGCCTGTTACTCTGAATCCTTGCTTAGTCAGCTGTTGTTTTTGCAGCGTTTTTCGCTCTTATATTGTATTAGTTTTTAAATAGCTGGTCATAACAGCTGGGTAAACTGGGTTCGTTTTGTTGTACTGTTTGCTTACTGTGCGTGTTTGTGTGACACAAAATTTCATAATACAAAATTCATTATTTGTGTGTGTATGTGTATGTGTGTGTATATATATATGTGTGTGTGTGTGTGTGTGTGTGTATATATATATATATGTGTGTGTGTGTGTGTATATATATATATATGTGTGTGTGTGTGTGTATATATGTGTATATATATGTGTGTATGTGTGTGTATATATATATATGTGTGTATGTGTGTATACTTGGAATTATAAGGCTCTATTTGACATTTTTGTCAAAATTGAGTTATTCACATTCTTAATCTGTGATAACTTATTTACATTATGTGATGTTTCTTTTATAAGCTGTGTACATTTTGGGCCTTTTTTTGTTTTAGAAAACAAAAAGGGTTCTATTTACACAAGTCTATGGAATGCAAAAAATGTTAAGCTCAATATCTCAAAACTGCTCAGAAATTCCAAGGGCGCTATATATATATATTTTTATATATATATATATATATATATATATATATATTTACACACACACATACAGTAGTCAACATTTGAAGTGGATCAAAAAAAAAGTGAAACAAAGTTGTCCTAAGACAAGGTTTTAGGTTTTAGGACAACTTTGATGAAAGGTTTTGATCCACTTCAAATGTTGAAATGCCAAAATGGAAAAGCCATGTGTGACTAAGTTAGGACCCCATTACTGTTAACAGAAATTAAGAGGGTAAGTTATCAGGCACTGCTAACCAAATGCCTTTGATTAACTGATCATCAGCAAGTCTGAGCACCTCTAAGAAAGCAGAAGTTTTGGCAGTTTTCTGGTCTGAAGCCTTCAAGTGTGTGTTAACACAACTGTAAGGAAGAAAAGGAAGAAAGGCATCAGCAATGATCTTAGAGAAGGAATTGTCGCCATCAATCTGGGAAGAGTAATACGGCCATTTCTAAACAATCTGAAGTACATCATTCTACAGTGAGGTAGTTTATTCACAAGTGGAAGACATTCAAAACAGACAGCAATCCTCCCAGACGTGGACATCCCAGGAAATTCACCCCAAGATCAGACCGTGTAACGCACAGAGAAATGCCAGACAACCCAAGAACTTCACCGCAG